TATCCAAACAGACACTATTCTCCACAACACTATACTCCACGACACTAAACTCCACGACACTATACACCACGACACTATAAACTACGACACTATACTCCACACTATACTTTACGACACTATTCTCCACTACACTATACTCCACGACACTATACTCCACGACACTATACTCCATGACACTATACTCCACGACAATATACTAAACGACACTATACACCACAACTCTCTACTCCACGACACTATACTCCACGACACTATACTCCACGACACTATACACCACGACACTATACTCCACAACAATATACACCACGACACTATACTCCACGACACTATACTCCACGACACTATAGACCACGACACTATAGACCACGACACTATACTCCACAACACAATACACCTCGACACTATACTCCATAACACTCTTCTCCACGACACAATACACCACGGCACTATACTCCACAACACTATACTCCACGACACTACAATCCAGGACACTATACTCCACGACACTATACTTAACGACACTATACACCACGACACTATACTCCACGACACTCTACACCACGACACTATTCTCCACGACACTATACTCCACGACATTATACTCAACGACACTATATACAACGACACTATACTCCAGGACACTATACTCCACGATACTATACTATAATATAGTATATACTATAGCATAGTATATAGTACATACTATACTATACTATAATATACTATAATAGTGTGGGTGTGGATAATGTCGGGGAGTATAGTGTCGTTGTGTATAGTGTCGGGAAGTATAATGTCGTGGAGTATAATAACGTAGGGTATAGTGTCGTGGAGTATAGTGTAGTTGTGAATTGTGTCGTGGTGTATAGGGTCGTGGAGTACAATGTCGTGGTGAATAGTGTCGTGGAGTATAGTGTCGTGGAGTATTCCACGACACTATACACCACGACACTATACACCACGACACTATTCTCCTCGACCCGATACACCTCGATACTATACTCTACGACACTATACTCCACGACACTATACCCTACGTTATTATACTCCACGACATTATACTTCCCGACACTATACACAACGACACTATACTCACCGACACTATTCTCCACGACACTATACTCCACGACACTATACTCCACGACACTATACACCACACTATGCACCACGACACTATACACCACGACACTATACTCCACAACACTATACTCCACGACACTATAATCCACGACACTATACTCCACGACACTATACTTCACGATACTATACACCACGACACTATACTTCACGACGTTATTCTCCACGACACAATACACCACGACACTATACTCCACAATACTATAATCCACACGACACTATTCTCACCGATACTATACACCACGACACTATTCTCCACGACACAATACACCATGACACTATACTCAACGACACTATACACCACGACATTATATTTCACGACACTAAACACCACGACCCCTTACACCACGATACTATACTCCACGACACCGTACACCGCAATACTATACACCACGACACTATACTTAACGACACTATACACCACGACACTATACACCACGACATTATACTCCATGGCACTATACTCCACAACACTATACACCACTACACAATACTCCACGACACTATACACCACGACAATATACTCCACGACACTATACTCCACAACACTATACACCACTACACAATACTCCACGACACTATACACCACGACAATATACTCCACGACAATATACTCCACGACACTATACACCACGACACTGTACTCCTTGACACTATCCACCACGACACTATACTCCACGACACTATACACCAAGACACTATACACTACGACACTATACTCCACGACAATATACTCCACCACACTATGCTCCACGACGCTATACTCCACGACACTATAATCCACGACACTATACACCACGACACTATACTCCACGATATTATTCTCCACGACACTATACTCCACGACACTATACTCCACAACACTATACTCCACGAACACTATACTCCACGAAACTATACTCCACGACACTATACTCCACAACACTATAATCCACACGACACTATTCTCACCGAAACTATACACCACGACACTATTCTCCTCGACACAATACACCACGACACTATACTCAACGACACTATACACCACGACATTATATTTCACGACACTAAACACCACGATCCCTTACACCACGATACTATACTCCACGACACCGTACACAACAACACTATACACCACGACACTATACACCACGACACTATACACCACGACATTATACTCCACGACACTATACTCCACGACACTATACACCACTACACAATACTCCACGACACTATACACCACGACACTATACACCACGACACTGTACTCCACGACACTATACACCACGACACTATACTCAACGACACTATTCTCCCCGACACTATACACCACGACACTATACACCACGACACCTTACACCACGACACTATACACCACGACACTATACATCACGACATTATACTCCACGACACTATACTCCACGACATTATACTCAACGACACTATACACAACGACACTATACACAACGACACTATACTCCACGACACTACACTCCACGACACTATACACCACGACACATACCTTTGGACACAGACCTCAGAGATAAGTCTGTACAAGGTATGATGGACTATGTTACCCAAAAGTGTCAGGAGGCAGTAATCAGGTTCATCCCGGCCCAGAGGGAAAAATCCGAGAAGCAACAGAAGAATCCATAGTATGATAGGGCATGTATGGAAGCGAAGAAACTGAAAAAAAGGGCGTGGAGGAACTTTCGGAACGACAGAACACCAGAAAGCACGTCAGGGTGAGAAGAGAAGCAGAGAAAAGTTTTGAAAATGGTATAGCAAACAAAGTCAAGACCGAACCAAAGCTTCTCCACAGTCACATCAGAAGGAAAACAACAGTGAAAGAACAGGTATTGAAACTTAGAACAGGCGAGGACAGGTATACAGAGAATGACAAAAAGGTGTGTGAAGAACTCAACAAGAGGTTCCAGGAGGTCTTCACAATAGAACAAGGTGAGGTCACTATGCTAGGAGAAAGGGAGGTAAACCAGGCGGCCTTGGAAGAGTTCGAAATTACGAGAGAGGAGGTCAAAAGACACCTGATGGATCTGGTTGTTAGAAAGGCTGTTGGTCTAGACGGGATCTCACCATGAGTACTTAAAGAGTGTGCAGAGGCACTTTGCTTGCCACTCTCTACAGTGTATAGTAAGTCACTGGAGACGGGAGACCTACCAGAAATATGGAAGACGCGAATATGGTCCCAATGTACAAAAAGGGCAACAGGCAAGAGGCACTGAACTACAGGCCAGGGTCTTTGACTTGTATACCATGCAAGGTGGTGGAAAAGATGTGAGAAAAAAACCTGGTAACACATCTGGAGAGAAGGGACTTCGTGACAAATCGCCAACATGGGTTCAGGTAGGGTAAATCTTGCCTGACTGTTTTAATAGAATTCTACGACCAGGTGACAAAGAATACGCAAGAAATACGCAAGAGCTGGAGGTGCATAGGAGGGGTGAGGGTTGTGTGGGGTTTGGGGGTGAGTGGAAGCTGGGATGGAGCAGATGGAATTGAAAGCAGTAGGGTAGAAGGGGCAGGGGAGTAGGAGGAGGTAGTAGGGGAGAGGGGGATGGGGAATCCACAAATCCCTTGTGAATTTGTGTGTGTGTGTACTCACCTATTTGTACTCACCTACTTGCATAATAGGTGTACTCACCTAGTGTGTGTGTGTCTGTGTACTCACCTAGTTGTGTTTGTGGGGGTAGAGGTCTGGCTCTTTGGTCCCGCCTCTCAACCGTCCATTAGCAGGTGTACAGATTCCTGAGCCTATTGGGCTCTATCATATCTACACTTGAAACTGTGTCTGTCTAATTTTCTGACTCACAACCTATTTTCCTCTAGCATCTCTACTACACGCATCTTACACCTATTGCAGGATGTCCTGTCTATCTTCCATCTATTTCTAGGTGAACAGGCCCATCAGGTGATGGCAACTCTGCCCATTTGTTTCTGCCTTGGGAGTCGTAGTGCCCATTGTGCGTACGACTTCACCTTGTATTTAGGTGAATACAAGTCGAATTCGACTTGTATTCACCTAAAGAGCAAATCCACAAGGGGCATGATGAGGGTTCGAACTTACACACAGGATGATCCCAGACACTGCCTTACTCGACTAGGCCACGACATGGTCAAAAGAATGGCAACCAGGAATTCCACTGAATTCGCACGGATCCTGCAGCCTCTCCGAGACACAAACCAGGGTTTTCCACAATTCCCCCATGCACCTGAGCTCTGCCAACAAGCTGCTGTACTTCTTTGCCATCACTTCATTACAAACAAAAATCCCAATAGGGTGATGCATCAAATGAACAAGTTCGAACCCTCATCACGGCCCTTGTGGATTTGTTCACTTGATGCATTACCCTATTGTGATTTCTGTGTGTATCCACCTAGGTGTGCTTGCGGGGATTGAGCTCTGCTCTTTCGGCTCGTCTGTTACGAACCCAAGTCCATTGTCAGAGCATGGAGTAGCGACGTCAATGCCGTCTGTGAGTCTGCTCCCGAAACCCCCCCCACAACATGGACGACACCATCTAGTAGTGACAGGACTATATCGTCAAAAGGCACTAGATTCAAGTCCTAGTCAGCTCGTGAGGTAGCTGGTGCTGACCTCTAGTGAGGTGGGGCCTAGAAAAGCAGCGCCATCTATCATAATCGGAGTTGGATGTATGTGTCTAAGTCAGTAAGTGTTGTTTCCTTGTGTCCCAGTGTACTGACGACGTGTCTGTATCCACAGAGTCGATGTAGGGCTGCTGTGATACGAGGACAGTCAGTCTACCCAGGGCAGCCAAGGTCTCTCTACACCATTCTGCTTTACGAAAGCAGTGAGCCGCCGCGGGGTTGGCTAGATGAAAATTAAAAGTTGTTGTAGGGCATTTAAAATTTATTATCCTGATACATGTGAAAGGTGCTGCAACTGGGCCAAGTTTCAGCATCGCAGCCTAAATAGAGAGGGAGAAAAAAAAATAAAAAAGTTTTTTTAGACAATTTTTCAACAATGTTCAAATCATTTCACAGGCCACAATTGTGAACCGAAATCAGTTCTATGACACTTAGCTATGACCTTACTATATAATAAAGATTTATCTGATGGATTTTTATCCCAGATGTATTTAGTGCAATAATATAGATTTTGTAAATTTCCCAAAAATCCTATGCAACAATATGATATTTATAAATATTTATAAAATCAATAAATCTACGTAGAAAGAAAAGCCACCACAATGTTTTAGAGGCATAAACTCTACATATAATGTGCAAGTTTCATGTAAATTGAATAATAAATAAAGTCTGTGAAATCAGATAAAATTGTAAAATATTTACCTGCACAAACGGAGGTTAAAGTTCAGCCACCTTTAGCTGAGGTTGATGTTGACCAATATCATTCAAAATTTGCACCCTTGTAGATAGGCATGGGTTCAGTAAGGTGTGCAAGTTCCATGCAGATCGCCTGATAAATAAAAAAAAAAAATTAAAAAAAAAAAAAAAAAAAAAATTATATATTTGCCACCAGTTTTATATGTACAAATATTTATGAAGTAATATCACAATATAACACCAAAACATACTAACCTAATATAATTGGTCAGAAATATGGGTCCTCAAGGTGGCACTGGAGTGGCACTAGTAGGCACCTGCGCCATAGCTGGGGTCAGCGGGCTGCAAAACTTGCGGCTGAGTGGCCGCCTCGATCTTCACTCGTCAAAGTGCGTAATCTACGGATTCTGGCCAGCTCGCACCTTCTACGGGCAGCTAGCATGCTTTCAGCTTTCATAGTTTTCCTCATCTTCGTTTTGTACGTCATTTTGCAGTAAAAATAGCACAAATTGTGAGAGCTCGTCCACGATAGGTCCACCAGCTGAGGGACACAAAGAGTGACTGACTTAGCCAGCAAGCCCACCCCTCTCTCACACGAGACTGTTGCCAATGAGTGAGTTTATATTCGTTTTATGCATAACACGTTATTTTCCACGCTATTACGAAATATTAGACTTCTACAACGTAAGACACAACACCCCACGGCGCACCCAGGCCGCGAGAACCGGATTCACGAAAGTTGGAGCGGGAAATTTGACTCTAATTACGTTATTTTTCATGATAACATAAAACGGTTTGCACCACAGTGTTGCCAGAACGTTGTAGTATTTTTCAGAATTTTTCGTAAATTTTCGAAATTTTTCGGATTTGAGCATAGATGTCCCCTTTACGGAAGCAGTGAGCCGCCGCTGGAAAAGAACTGTGAAGTGTTCTACTGTCTGCCTGTGGAGTGCCAGTGAGAGGATTCGACGTACCCGGGGCTGGCTAACAGAAGAGACGACTGACTAAGGTGCTGAGGAGGAGAGTAACCAGCGAGTTGCATGAAGCTCCTGCCTAGGTCTCGCTACCCTAGTATTTGCACGTGAAGTGGCCCAGCAGCGCGAGGCTGATGGTATCTGCCAGCACAGGCTGGACTGTGATTGTGGGCATTCACGAGGAAGCACTTAGTGAGTGTGAGGGATCTAGATCCCTCAGCTAGTTTTCCTAGTTTCTAGATTAGGCTAGTCACTCTAGAAACTGAAGCTTTCAAAATAACATATGCTTGTTGGGTGTTGAATGAAAGCTTATGTTACGAACTATCATTTGTGAGTAGTTAGAGGCCTGTGATTGCTCTGTAGAGAGAATTACGGAAATTTTCCTGTTTCTGTGAAATAGGATGGGAGTTGAGAGTGAAGTGGTGTAGGGAGGTACTTGACTCTCCCAACGGTTTTACAGGGGGGGGGGGACAGTGGGGTGAACGTTGCCTTCCCCCCCCCCCCCCCCCATGTGAGACAGTAGGCCACTGTCTTTTAGGCCTTCCCCTCCTTATGACGTCACAGGACGCCCGAGGGTGATGGAGAGAGGTGATTGGGTCTGGCATGTGTGCTCCAAGCCTAGTTTTGGCGCAAAGAGCTATGGTTGGATCCGGCACGAGGAGCCGTGCCGGCTTCAAGCTGATTGGTCTAGACAGAGTAGGGGAAGGTATGGGCATTTTGAGTTTCACTAGCGCGGGAAATCATCAGTCTGAGCAGGGTAGCAGGTGGACTAGGACGTGTCTGGGTGGAGGGGGGGGAGTTTTCCCCCTCCACCCCCGTTAATCGCGGACGTTACCGTGTTAACTAGCAGGGATGGCACCCCTGCTATCCCTGGTTGTGTCAAGGCCCAATTAGGTGAATTGGGGCCAAGGATTTACGGAAGAAACAGTAAAAAGCTAAGAGACAGTTGACTGTGTGAACCCATGAGGCAGGCTGGCAGAGCCTCATGGTGTAACAGGTGGGTCGAGTATCCTGTCTAGTGGCAATGGACAATTGATGTTGGGCAGTGTAAGTGAGTGTGATATTACAGGCCCAGGTTGGACTTTGCATTCCGCCAGGCTGTGTCAGTGTGGGGACGCCGCCGGCCATTGTCACCCCAGTGTAGAACAAGGCAGGTTCTAGCTTGATGGGGTTGTGATTCCCCAGCCGCGTGGGTACTCCTGTGGGCGGCAGCCTGCCACCCGTGGCCACCCACCCAGGCCACCCGCGCGGCCAAACCCTACCCCCACCCCGCCCGCCAGCTCAGCCGGTGGGGTGCTATGATGTCATGCGCTACCTGTGGCCACCCCAGGCCACCAACCCGCCTGCCCGCGCGCCGGCCACCCGCGCGGCCAAACCCTACCCCCACCCCCCCTCTCTCAGCTCGGGAGGGGCGCTGTGGCCACATGCCTTGGCCACTTTCCCGGGACAGCCTAGGGCCACATCTTGTCGACGCATGAGGAGCAAGCAAGCTAAGTGTTGTCAGCTAGTGTGGTAGTAACTTGGGAAATGAGGAAAAAATAAGGGAAAGAGGGCAGTAGAAATGAGTACTATTACAGTGTGATGGGTACCGGTGGAAATTCCCGGTAAGAGTTATCTCAGAACCTCGCCAGGCTAGAAAAGCAGCTGAGTGTCAGCTGTCAGTAGGATCCAGGTGTTGGATAGGACGGTACCTGGAGATGAATATTATACACGGGACTACACTGTAGTAACACTGTATGTATAGTAGACTGACTGGAGTATGTAACCAGTCAGTGTAGAGATATACCATATAAGTGATCCAGCCTGTCGATTCTATATAATCGTTCAGACTGGATTAATGCCATAGAGTACCGTAAAATTATAATCATTAGAGGTAGGCAGGGATGTAAGTGGGGACCCCTGAAGTCTGTGTAGTTAGTTACATATTACTTGGTGATATAATTTTCATTGATTATGTGAATGCCATTTCTATGTGTTCATTTGCATGTTTATGTACTGTGTTGTGTGGTAAGTCAGTAGGTGTGATTGCTGACTGATTGCCTAATGATGTCATTAGCATGTGGGGTATGCTGACGGCATCATTGTGTTGCAGGTTTGTGCAGTATTGTTTCAGTTTATTCAATATTATTGCCCCAGGAACTGTGTTGAGGGTTTAAGAGACCTCTAGGATTATTCAGGGGAATTCACAGTACTTAATGAGAGCAGGCAATTGATGGGTTAATTGGCTCGCTGAGGTACGTGTGTGTGTTCACAGTATTCCTTTGCAATCGGGTGCAAGAAGATAAGAGGGGGGCAGTAATATTAGTATACTTTTGTGTGTTGCACAACCGTGTGTCATTATTGTGTTGCACAGTAATTAGCGAGTTGCAGTAGCCGCAACCATATGTGGGCAGTGCTTTTATGATGTTGCATGCCATTGTAGTGTGACCTATGTAACGCTGGGGTTACTTTGTTTCTTTAAGTTGTGTTGAGGACTTAAGGATTCAGTGAGTTAATTAAGGGGTAATTAACTGGATAAGGGGTGCACACTTAGTATTGTGGAGTGAGTGAGGGCTGTTAAGAGAGAACAGTGTTGAGCGAGAGTGAGATACGTCTCGGGAGCAATTAATTGTCCGTGTGACAACTAATTGACCACTCTAGCTAATTATGTAATTAGCCTTCTCATCATGAATTCACGTAGTGGGAGAGGATCTGTCAGAGTCTGTCAGTACTTGTGTTAACGTAATATGCTCGAGACTAATTACCTTTCAGGGGTATAGCAATTAGTGGCTCAGGTTAATTAGTGGAGTAATTAACATTGGAGAGCTCCGGTGACTCGGTAAAGCGAGGTCATGGAGCTAGCATAAATCGTTGTATTAATCATATCCTGTCTGAGGACAGTGGATTATTGGCACATCTTGTTAATTAGGGTAATTAACTCCTTTCCCGTGAATTCACAGTGTTTGATGAGACCTGCTTAGGCCGTGCGGAGTGAGACGTATTTATGGATGATTACTTATCGGTCCTGGTGACAGTTAATTAATTGCTCAGAAGTAATTAGAGACTTAATTAGGGTAATTAACACTCACTAGTAATTTTTTGACACAGACTGTGGAGAAGCTACCAAGTTAGGGTAGGCTTAGTTAACGTAACTCAATGGGGATGTAATTAGTGGTCCGTTTGACCTTAATTGAGAATTACTCACTGAATACTTGCAAGGAGTCAAGTGTGGTGTAATATATGTTGAGTTATTGTAACAAGGGAGAGACAAGTGTTAAAGATTAACGTAGAGTATCATCATGTTGTTGTCTAGTGGGAGACAATTGTTTGTGATTACCGTAGTACTTTGTTGCTGACTGCTGCGATCAGTCAATTAACGTAATTAATCACTTAAGGCAATTTCGTTTGGTTGTCGTCTGGTGACGAGAGTAGAGTCATCTAGGGATCTGTGGAGCTGTGTCCCAGAATCCCGCCTTGCCTATCTTTGTTACTGTTTACAACAGGGCAACTTCTTGTTGGGAGTTGCAAAGAGTGTTCACACTGGGTTGTGATAGGGGGGGGGGTCACTGTCGGACTACCCGCCTAGTTACGTGGGTCTCTCCTGGGGGGCGGGAGGACCCCTAAGTTTGTGATTATAGTAGCTGTCAGGGAAACCGAGACACTATTGATTGCATGCTTGTGTCTTCAGTGGATATCCTTCATTTGTTCAGTTAGTTCATGTTGTCAGCCCGAAGTGTCAGCAAGATGGAGCCTGCTGTCACTTCTCGCAAGGCTGTTGAATAGCTGTGTTGCAAATGCCACTTGATGTACAATAACGTAACCAATCGCTGTGGTGTAACTTAGTCTGTGATATTTTTCTTTGATTTGCGATATTGCGTCATCAGTGGGCACACCTGTGTTCGGGTTAGTTCAGTATGCAGCCTCACAGCAAGGGTTGCTAGTTAGCTGTTTGTTATCGTGCCACTGGATTGACATTAATGTAATGGAAACTCGGTAATGTAGTAGTTAGTCTCTTGTTATTAATAAATTGTTATGTTATAGAAAACGGTCTTTGATGTCAACCCTTCAACCATATTATTCCACCATATTTCTGCATATTATTAAATGTTGATGTGATCTTGATAAGGCGGCTGTTCTTGGGAATTCGAATTCCAATTCATAGCGCCACATCAAATATAAATATTTGATTGTGAGAACCCGTCGGTTACCCTATATTAGTTTTAACGTCCTGTTTAACTAGGAGGAGCCAGCGGCCTATTGTGGACAGGTTTTCACCCTTGGTGGTGGAGGCCTGGCGGTTTGCTCCCGCTTTTCCTTTTTCTACTGGACTCATGCTTAACTGCCGTGAGCAGACTTTAAACTTGTAGTCCACCTCCTAAGGGAGGTAGGCGTAGAGAAAAATCTCACA